ACATTGTAACACTAACGCAAATATTTGTAAAGTTTTGTTTAAGTTTAACTTTATTTGTTGCTGACAGTTCTAAAATTCGTTTGCATCTTCTTGTAGCTCAACACAGTAGTTTATGGTATCTTACCGCACAGCAAAAAATTATTTGTTCACTATCCGACATTATATCTTCTTTGCTGCTCCTCCTTTGGGATTTTCAAAGGCATAAAAACATTCATTATCACTTATTCTCATTGGTGTTTTCACTTCCTATCTTTTGTGGGTTTTTGTATCTTTAACAACATCTATTTAATCCTATAGTATTATCTGTCGTTTTGGTGTGAGTGGTTTGTCGAGTGTACATTCGGCTCTTCCATATTCATGCGATTATTCTTGCAACTCCTGGTGCAACTCGCTACCGCCATCTAATAGCAATGTAACAATTTTTAATTGTCATTTGTTGCGCTCCTTCATGTATTGGAGCTTTCACTTTGACATATCTATGAATCTCTACTAAATCACTCACCTTTTTAAGCGTCTTATGAAATGGAAGTTTCGATTTTACCTTTGAAAAGTCGGAAAAGTTTCTCTCAATTAACACCCAACAATTGGTATATGTCAAGTGGCGCGATTTTAGGTTGTCACTAAAGGCACATTTGCATTGGGCTTACGTTAAGTTTTTATGTTATAATAGTGTATTACCTACCAATAAAGGGTACACAAACTGTCCACTCTGTTAAAAATTCCAAAGAAAAGGGTCTGGGGAATCTGGAAAAGTTGCTGTCTGTAAGCTCTTTTACTGTCCAAACAATATCACCTAGCTGATATACAGTTAGAACTCTTTTCTTGTTGTTCTGAGAAAATCAAAAACTCAAAAAGACAGCCTTTTATCACCTGGTAAGCATGGGTGTAAAGTAACATCCGAGAAAAATCGTGCCTTTCAGCCGCCTCCCCGGTAGACCACCATTCGAATTGCGAAGATAGTATTCTACTGGTACCTGATGACATTTTCTCCCACCCAAGTAAAATTTCACAAGAAGTTCTACTCATTTTCATTTTCAGTGTAGTTGAGTAAGAACATTCCAACCAAGAGTGCTCTTTGTGTGTAACAATACTATCATTACAATTGCAACATATTGTTAAGTGTTAGGCAATTGAAAGGTATTCACTTTACGTAGTTACAAATTTCAACCAAAAAATTCATTTGATTGCATTGAATGATACACCTGTTGGCTTCAGTTGAATTTGATGCCACGCATTTATAACTATTCCAAATTTGAGAAATTTGACCTAAATTGAGCAATCATCATCATTTTCTCCCAAGTATGTAGTGCTGTGACCAGGCCCGGCACAAGATTTTCAGTTGGAGTTTATGCGAACCAATACCTCTGGAAAATACAGCAAATACGAAACTTCCTTTGAACCTATAGAAGGGGGTGCAAGGGACAAATACGGCACGACTGTTAACTTGGAGCGCGTCTCCTTTCTTAAGGTAGAACGACTTAGGGCCGCAGCAAGGAAGAAAGGAAGTGCGTTGATTTGGTTACTGCGCTATAGGGTCACGAGGTGCGCAAAAAGTGTTTGATATAAGGAAAGCATCGCCAACTTGAGGATTTGCATAGGTTTTCGCACGACGCCAAAATTAGAAGAAAGTACTGCAACTTTTCCAACTATTCTCAAGGATTTTACAACAAGCCTTATTCCTTG